GACCTCCAGGTGTGTGGTCAGGGACTTCTTTAGACCTCCAGGTGTGTAGTCATGGCTTTAAATAAAACTAAGTAAGTCAATGTAATAATAATAAAACAAAGATGAAGTTTTAACGTTTTATTCATGGTTTACTTTCATATTACAACATTTTTCCACAGAACATCGACCACGCTCAACTTAAGTACAGAAACAAAAACATCTGGTCATTAACTCAATCATTGAGCAAGAATCAGAACATCTGTTGGCTTTATGGTCCGTTACCATGACAACAGTTACAGTACAACAGTCCAGAGGTCACAGAACAGATTCAAACTTTTATCACAGAATTGATAAAAACTCAGTTGTAGGATAAAAAAATAGAATTGTTTTTAGGCCTGTCACCATAACAAACTTTGCTGGGCGATTAATCGTCTCAGAAATTATTGTGATAAATGATAATATTGTTTGAAATTTGACAATAATTGGTAATTATTGTCAAATTTAAGAAGAAATGTTGGTTAATTTGTTTTGCGTGTAGTACCTTTTTGACCACTGGGTGGCAGTATAAGACTGTTTGAACTGAAGGATGGATAGTGAGGGAGCGAGCAGCATGTCTCTAAGAAAAATGGGAGGGAGGCCCCTTGACGTGACATGGGCTGTCTCATTCTTTTTACGTTCTCCAAATGGCTCTGTGTGGTTTGAGCTCTTTAGCATTTTTCACACAAAGCTTTTAATAAAAAATCAGTAAACAAGTTCTCAGTTTCTTCTTGCAAAGAAAAACAACTTTTTACACGAAGGCACGGGTTTCAACCGTGAATTTTGGAGCTTCGACAAGACCAAGGTTTTATTCCTAAGGTCGGCCTGTTAGCTTAGCTCGTAGCTTAGCTGCTTTTAACCGTCCAAAAATATAATTTTGGACGGTTAAAACAGATTTGGAAGATTAAAGAGAAAGGAGCGATCAGTGAAGAGCACCGGAGTTGAGCCTTTTGTCATCCGGTGTCTTCAGAGAGACACATGAAGAAACGATAAAACCGACAAATGAAAATGAGGTGGATGATTTTAATTTATCATGCGATGAATTGATTTGTTCATCGCGACAGGCCTAGTTGCTTTAGAACCACAGAAAAGATGAGCTGGGATTTTTTTTAAACCCTCCATCCTGTGATGTTTTCTCTGAGACGAGCTTCATCCGGGGTGTAACGAGTCGTTCATGTCAGACCGGACACCGGGTCCACCAGAACAAGAAACATTTTAACGAGACTTCACCACAGACTCAGCTGACCGGCCACGCCCGATTTAAAGCTTCGGTCGTTACATCTTCAGACAGAAGTTTATTTTAATTCAACAGGAAGTCTTTGGACCTCGTTACACCCCCGTGGTGATGGTGGCACTTTGTAAGGCACAAACACCTAAAACAACTGACAAAACCTCAATATTTAAGGTTTTGTAATTTTATCACTTACAAAACTGACTTGTTTTCCTTTTTTGTTTATTTCAGTAATGGCTTAAAGGAAACATCCGACATTACAGATCAGTTCAAATACAACAATAAGGAGAATACAAAATACCGTACGAGCTACAGTAAGTTCACTGAAGAATTACACACCAACCTGAACACACAGGTTTTCATTTACATATTTATAGCTCGGGAGACGAGTTCTTTTAAGATGTCGGGTTCAGCGGAGTTTGCATTTCTACACAAACGATACAGCTACACACAACCTGACGTCACCATGGCACCAGTCCAACGACATCTTATATTTTGGCGTTTTCAGACAACATTTTAATCAATACGAGAAAAAAACAAATATTTAATTATGGCTAATATTTGGTGACACGAGGGTCAACGTCCACTTACAAACACATCACACCTGTTCATGTGGGTCATACTGAGCTGCTTTCCTTTGTATCGTTGTTTTCCTTTGACACGGAGCACATGGGTTCGGATGAGCTTCTTTAAATTTAAACTTTGGAAACAATGCGGATGAAAGCCTGAACGTCCACTATTGATAAGAGACAAATACACAAAAGATACAAGTGTTGACTGGAAAAGACCGTACATAAATAATATTGGAAAGTGAAATGCTTGTGATTACGGCACTAGTGTTACCAAACAATATACGGACACTGAGGGAGTTTTGTAAAGGCTCTGAAGGAGCCCAACGTATCGCTCAGTTCCGAGTTCATGAACTGCAAAATATAAGATTATTCATCAAAGAATTAAAGCAAGTTAAATACAGCACCCACACTCTGAAACCATAGTACAACTTGGACCAACTCCATTAGTGGCACAGCATCCAACAAAATATAAGGCAACAACAAATATACACGTATAAAAGTCACATTAAGTGTCTTGAGAAATGCTGTTCGTGCTACATGTAGGACGTTAAAAATGGCTGTACAGCCAGAAGAATCACAGAGAAGATGCCATGTGGTTGAAGATAGCAGCAAAGACTAACACGCGCCGTTTGTTGCTATCATTGGGAGGCCAGTGGGTGGGGGGTACTGTCATGTCCTCTGTGACCAGAATGACTGTGACGATGATGACTAGTCACTGTGGAAGTGTCTGAATCCAGAGAGCTCATAATGTCATGCTAAAATATGGTAAAACTCTCAAGAAGGTCCAGTTTCTTCAACATAATGGACCTAAAAGTCAGAACTGGAAGACTACAACTGTACCCAGAAACTGTTGGATTGGTATTCAAATTGCTGAAGGGTCACAGGTAGAAGATTTCACTGGTTGATGTCGACATAAAACTTATAAAACAAAGCTTTAACAAAGTGTTCATTAACATCAAGATGGGATAATAAACTAACAAAATAAAGACCAGGTGCAAGGAGACTTTAGTGGTCCTAGTGGGCACTGAAAATGAAAGTACACCAGCGTTTCTACTCGTACACGTTTTACTGTTTTTAGCACGTCTAATAGTCAGGTCCTTTGGACGGATCTGAGGTTCTTCCGTCCAGAGGACTTGACTTAACCTTGTTAGACTTATCTACCTGGACTACTGAGCATGCATCGGGATGTCTTGAGTATGATTTAACATTAATTAAGCTGTGTCATATATTGAATCATAGTAGCCCTAATAGGGTGCCAAGAGGAATGCCTGAAAATCCACAAATGGTGCTCGTAAAGTAACGTATGAAGAATCTTACAAAAAGGACAGAACAAAGTCTATGCCAGACCAGCAAATCCAGTCTGGGAGCTACAGCGGTGACGTCCGGCACACATTTCACACAGTCAGGTTTGGTATCTGCACACAGAACCACAAAGCTGCTACTCAACTGCTTTGTCTAATTACAGCATTTTATAGATTGTCCAAACAATTTCAGTACCAAGTCCACAATATTTGAGTTAACCTGAGTCTGTCACAGAGACACAAACCTAAAACCTCAGTCTTCCTCAAACGAACACTCAGAACATCTGTGAAGAACTTATTTGGCACCAAAGAAAAAACCCAAAGGCATCAACAGGACACCTGCGTCTGCAGTAGTTTCTGTAGGGAAATCAAAGAGACGCCGTGTTCAGGTGGAGACGGGCAGTAAGACGTTAAACCGACTAACGGTTGGTTGGGGGGCGACGGAAGATTCAGGTTTAAACCAAAGTGCTTTTTGTTTTAGGACGTGTGTGATGTCATCACTGCTCGTCATGACAACCCTGATACAAACTGAAGTCATCACTGCTGGCCGTCAAGAACAAGAGTCCAAACACACCGAAGAACAGAACCGGTTAAATGAAAATAGATCCATGTTGACTTGTTGTGACTCCAGCAGCAGACCATCGCCTCAACAGGTCATCTATAAAGCAAAATGAGCAAAGAACTAAAAAACGCTGCTTTGTGCCATCAGTTGTTTAAATGAAGGGTTCATGGTCTACATGAGAGCAGGTACACAGACATGACATGACGCTGCTAGCAGACCGCTCAGAACCAGCTAAAACATGCAACTGGTCCAGAGTTTGGGATTCTACGTGTTTGCCTGCCTTTAGTACAGGAGTACTGGCTGATTGGTCTGTATCTGCTGAAGAGTGGGGGGGGGGGGGACGTCTCAGCTGTGGGGAGGACGGAGGGGATTAGGTGAAGACCAGGTGCTGCTGGTCCAGTAGGATTCTGGCGAAGTTGTTGATTGGCCCAATAGCACTGAGTGACATGGCATTGTCCCGCCCCCAGAGCAAATTAGGTCCAAACACCACAGCCAGGTTCCTGGTGGTCATCTTATTCACCTCACTGTTGGCTGAAACCTAAGAAGCAACAAGACTGTCGTTAGGAGGCGGGCACAGAGACGAGTAAAGACCACTCAGAGCCGTCAGGTCTACCTGGGCCAGGAATGTGATCAGGTATCGCAGGGAAGCAGCGTTTTCCTCGGGAAGTGATTCCACCAGCGTTTTCATTACTTCTACCTGGTTGTCACTGGAAACAGCTGAAGGACAACAAACACAAACAGGAAGTACGTCTGATGAGTCAAGAGGCTCAAGGTTCTTTACGGTCATTCGCATCACATGTGGTACATGAGGTGGAACGAAACTGTGTAGTCAAGGTCCCAGATACACCCAAAAACAGCAAAAGTATAAACAGAAAGAGTATATAAGGATCTAAGACATACGCAGAACAATAAGAACGTAAAATAATGCAGTATATTAAACAGCAGCCTGAACATGAGTCTGTTGTGAGCAGAAGGGTATGAATAGAAATCAGCAGCACAGATAGGTCACATATCTCCAATTAAAGTGTCATCACAGTGATTCTCTGGTTAGAGGTTCATGAGTCTAACAGCCTCAGGGTAGAAGCTGTTCCTCAGTCTAGTGGTTCTACACTTAATGCTCCTCAACCTCCTTCCTGAGGGGAGTGGGGCAAAAAGTGTGTGTGCTGGGTGAGTGTGGTCCTTCATGATGCAGGTGGTCCTCTTCCTGCATCTGGAGGTGTAGATGTCTGTGATGGTGGGGAGGCTGATTCCAACATCTTCTGTGCAGCCTTCACCACTCTCTGCAAAGCTTTTCTTTCTGCAGCTGTGCAGCCTCCATGCCACACGTTGATGCTGGAGCACAGGATGCTCTCCACTGCACACCTGTAGAAGGAGGTGAGGACTGAGCTTCCAGACCAGCTCGCCTCAGCCGCCTGAGGAAGTAGAGTCTCTGATGAGCTTTCTTGATGAACGACTGTTAAGATTAATATGATAATAGTCGAGTCCACGTCGACTACTTGATGACGTCATAGGAACTCAAGACGCTAAAAGAAATAAAAATGAAAATAAATGGCAAAAAAAAAGAAATTATTTACAAAAAAAAGAACAACAAAACATCAGGAATATGCTCCTACCATTTATCAAACTGCAAATAAGTACCAGGAAAAACAAAACTGCTATTAAGCTGCAAAAGTTAATTTTATTTAATCCACTAAATAAAATAAAGCACCACAGCGGTGGTGGTGATGGTGGATTCTCCGGTGGAGCGCACCCGTTTCTTTAAATTTATTTTATTTAGTGGATTAAATAAAATAAAACTAAAAACAGCATCATCTTTAGTGAAACACTTCCACACTGTTGATGAATTTCTACGTGTTTGGGAAGATTTTGCCTGCTCCTCGCCTTCCATCTGCTTGGAAGAAGCGGCCCGGCGCAGATCACATGACACAATCACAGACTGCAACTACTCGATGTGAAATTTAAAAACTTGCGAGATGTCCTAGAATCGAGTAGTCAACTAGTCTATTCAACCCCTAGTAGGTGGGTAGTCTGTGAGCAGAGTGAACAGGAGGGGGCTCAACACACATCCCTGAGGAGAGCCAGTGCTGAGGGTTATGGTGGAGGACGAGAAGTTGTAGATCCTCACTGACTGTGGTCTGTTTGTTAAGAAATCTAGGACCCAGTTGCAAATGGAGGGGCTTAGTCCTAGTGTGAATAGTTTGTCCATCAGGGTTTGGGGGATCATGGTGTTTAAGGCAGATGTGAAGTCCACAAAGATCATAGGAGTCCTTCTGCTCCAGGTGGGTGAGAGCAGTGTGGACCACAGTAGAGATGACATCTTCTGTTGATCGATTTTTGCGTTAGGCGTACTGGTGAGTGTCCTCGCTGATGTTGATGGTAGCTCTTTGATGTGGGTCATGACCAGTCTTTCAAAGCATTTAGTGACTATCAGGGTGAGGGCTACTGGCCAGTATTCATTCAGACCAGTCACTGCAGAGCTCTTAGGAACTGGGATGACAGTGGAAGTCTTCAGGCAGGTGGGAACAGCTGCCGGGGTGAGGGAGGAGTTAAAGATATTGGCGAGCACCTCACAGAGCTGATCGGAACGGTCTTTCAGAACCCTCCCCGGGATGTTGTCTGGGCCAGTTGCCTTGTGAGGATTAATCCTCCTGAATGTACTCCTTACTTCTGCTGAGGTCATACTGAGGAACTCCTCTTCCAGTGGTGAGGTGAGTCTGGTGCTGGATGGTTTATTTGTGTCTTCAAAGCAGGCATAGAACCAGTTAAGAGCATCAGACAGTGTTGGGCCCCTAAGGCATTGTGCACCTCTGCTTTTATGGTCCGTTATGCACTTAATGCCCTTCCTCATACTCCATGGGTCCTGTAAGGAGAGATGTCTCTGGATCTTCCAGGCATATGTGGCTTTGGCCCTCTTAATACCAGCAGCCAGCTCTTTCCTTGTCCTCCCCAGTTCCTGTGAGTCACCAGACCTGAAGACAGTATCCCTGGCTTTCAGCAGGGTACGGATCTCTGCGTTCAACCAGGGTTTCTGGTTCGTGTAGCACATCACAGTCCTTGTGGTGGTGACATCTTCAACACACTTGCTGATGTATCCGAGGACAGCAGATGTGTATTCCTCCAGATCCAGTTCTCCCTCATTTACAGCAGCCTCCCTAAAGACCTGCCAGTCTGTGCGTGCAAAACAGTCCTGCAGTACAGAGTCACTGTCACTGGGCCACACAGTGATGGTCTTCTGCGTGGGTCTGGAACGTCTCAGTGGGGGGAGGTAGACAGGAGCCAGAAAGATGGCGATGTGGTCAGAGAGGCCATGGTGGAGGCGTGGTACGGCTCTATATGCGTCTCATATGTTGGTATAAACATGGTCTAGTGTGTCATTTCCCAGTGTTGGTATGGTCACATGCTGATCAGAATCTAAAGTAACTATGGGTTGGGCAGTGGGCTGAAAAATTTGGATTAGTCATAATCAATCCAACAGCTGGTCCAACAGCTGGTCCAACGGCTGGTCCAACAGTTGGTCCAATGGCTGGTCCAACAATCAGCCCAATGATTGGCAATATATTTGAGCAGGTGGGTCTAAGCTTTTTTATTTTTAGGGAGAGGTAGACCAGGCAAACCCTGTTCTTCTTCAACCGTCTCAGTAGGCCCTAAAAGTACAAAGTTACTCCAGACTGTTGAGCAGAACTCCAGCAGGTCTGGGTTGATGTTAGGAGCCTGTGGTGGGTCACTGACATGTGGGCTTTGATCACAGCACATGGTAGGTTTTGACGTTTGAAGCTGAACACTTATTTTGTGGTTCAGACAGTTCAGAGGGTCTGGTAGATCTCAGAGGATCAGCGTTTCTCTGTACTGATGTCCCTGAAGCCTCTTCAGCTCAGTGTTCATGGTGCACATACAGAGAAGATGGACTGAGCTGGAGGACACCAGCACAGCTGGTGACAAATGGTCATTGGACTGTACTCATACAGCACCTTTCTATTTAATTCATATACTCAAAGCACTTTACAACAATCTGTGCCCTCATTTACCCATTCATACAGCACTCTACTAGATCTTTTCACAAAGATATACTGTAGTAGGCATGTGACTGCTGGTGGAATTGAACCCCCAACTCTTACTTTGGAGGACGACCTCTCTAACCACTCAGCCACAGCCTCCTGACTGTTGTGTTTGGACTTACAGGTAAAGTTGACGATGTCGTTATAGAGCTGGTACGTGAGCAGAGGCTCAGGTAGTTCCCTCAGGAACGTCTTCAGGATCACAGCAGCCAGGTGGACGTCCTCCATCTCTCTGAAAGCCACCGTCTCACCTGGACAACAGGTAAACACACCCGATCATTAAACGCAGAGCTAGAATCAACAACTCAAGGTAGTGTCCTCATCTCTCTTCAGTTTGACTGAAAACCTTTTTATGTATCCGTCCAGTTGCACAAGTACGTTTATTTTGGTTTTGTACGTGCACAAGGTGCAAACCAGTTCTTCACCACGTTCATGTGACTTCAGGAATTTGACCAGTACAGGTTTTAGTGACAATAATTGTAACCGAATGCGATTTTTAAACATTGGATGTATTTTTTTTACATTAAAAGCTCAAAACGGAGCAAGTAAAACCAGGTCCTGTTGTGTGATTGGACCGAGCTCAACTGTGTCGATGCATCAGTCACAACATCCATTCATTTGTTGAGTTCCAGATCTTTTGTTCAACAGAGAAAAGACTTCTGCAGAAACCCTGGTCCAGATCAGAACCCCATCATGACCCTGTGATGGTGGGTCAGACCTACCTGAGTTGTACCTGAGCTGGACCTCCTTCACCAGAGTCACGTTGGCAGACCGTCTGAAGATCCCCTCGATCTCCAAACCTGAGACACACACAGAGTCCAGATCAAGGTTCTGGCTGTCCAACAGATGGAGCCGGGACAAAACGTCGTCGCACCAACCTGCTGAATGAGCTGAAGGTTTTGGAATATGAACAAGGTATGCAGAAGAAATTAGACTGCTAAGAACCTACAGAGAACACCAAAACACAAGAACAGCTGACAGCATCTAAACAGCAGAACTTTATTGATCCCTCAGGGAAGTTTTAAAAAAGTGTAAAATCTAATGCAACACTGAAGTCCCTCGACCTGATGTGGGTTACGAGGGCCCCACCCTGGAGCCAGCTGTCAGGGAGGGTCTTGTCAGCAAGCACCTGGTGATCAGGCCTGGTTCCACGGGGCCCGACCGGCTACGCTGCAGCTCGACTTTGGCGGACTTGTTCTATCGTGGTTTGTGAACGTACGGTCCATAATACTGCACAAGACACGACGGTCAACTTTAATATTACTCATGTGATTGGGACAGCACTGGATACTGTACAGTAAAAACTTAACAAAAAAATTTAAGTACTTCGGACTTTGTAGTTTTCTCTCTGTGAGGTTCCACTATATTCCCACTAATAACAACCACATTTCCCAGAAGGCAACAGGGCCCCGTGCAGAAGTCCTGTTTCCAGCTGATAAAACCAGAGGTAAAGGTTTGATCTGCTCGGTGCCCAGCGGATGCAGAGAGCCGCAATGAACCCACTGAACCAGACCAGAACCAGATCTATCAGTGAATTTTCAGAGCTGGTAGCCGGTCCATGAGGACTTCGAGCGGGGACACACCGTAGGTCGGGGGCTCTTTCTGTAGTCCATCTGGACTTTTTTCATCCAGACTTGGAGTCAACCACCTATGGTCCTGCAACAGCCAACCAAAGTTCTACCTCCCAAAATGCGCTTCGGCACTCAAGAGCTGCACTGAACCGGACCAGAACCAGACCTCCAGACCAAGTGGTGAACCCGACAGCTCCAGGGACACCCTTGTAATTAAAATGTATTAGTTACATATAGGGCAGCACGGTGGCGCAACTGGTAGAGCTGCTGCCTCTCAGCGAGCAGGTCCTTGGTTCAAATCCCGGTCCAGGGGCCTCTCTGGGTGGAGTTTGCATGTTCTCTCCGTGCATGCGTGGGTTTTCTCCAGGTGCTCCGGTTTCCTCCCACAGACCAAAAACATGCATGTTAGACTGATTGGTAACTCTAAATTGTCCCTAGGTGTGAGTGAGAGAGTGAATGGTTGTTTGTCTCGTTTGTCTCTATGTGTCCCTGTGATGGACTGGAGACCTGTCCAGGGTGTCCCCCGCCCCTCGCACAGTGATTGATGGACATGGGCACCAGCGACCCCCGTGACCCAAAATGGAATAAGCGGGTAAAGATAATGGATGGATGGATGGATGGATGGACGGACGGATGGATGGATGGCTGGATAGTTACATATATGTTGTTATAATTAGTAGGTTTAAGAGTTGACGTTGATTGTGGGCTTTGTCGCTGCAGGTTACGTCTGCAGAAACAAACCGAGTCGGACCGGAACTGAGAGGCGCTGCTGTTCTGCAGATAGTACCAGTAAGTCAAATTTGTAGCTACATATGTCCAGGATGTGAACATCTTCATCCCTGAAAGAGTGACCTCTGACCTGGAGATGAGTGTAGACCTCAGAGTCCTGGCCTGATGATGTTGATCTTCTGTGCTGGGCCATCCTTTTGGCCAGTGGCTGTTTAGTTTCCCCGATGTAAGACTGATCACCCTCCTGACACTGAACAACATACACAACATTACTCTGTTTGTGCCGGGGGACTGGATCTTTGGGATGAACCAGTCTTTAATGTATTTTGGGGTTTAAAAGCCACTGGGACGTTATGTTTAGAAAATAAACGTCTCAGTTTCTCTGATACTCCCTCAACATACGGAATGACCACTGGTCTGGGTCTGGGTTCCTCCTTTTCACCTGTTGGCTGACTGGAGTCCTGTTTGGGTTTCTTCTTTCAGGAAGGCCCAGTTAGGATATCCACATTGCTCTAGAGCCTGTCTTGTGTAGGATTTCTCCTTCTGCCTGGCTCCTGAGCTAGTGGGGACGCTGTCTGCTCTGTGGTACAGAGTCCTGATGACTCCTAACTTGTGCTCCAAAGGGTGATGGGAGTCAAACTGCAAATACTGGTCTGTGTGGGTGGGTTTGCGGTACACCTCAGTTTGCCAAAGGATGGCCCAGCACAGAAGATCAACATCATCAGGCCAGGACTCTGAGGTCTACACTCATCTCCAGGTCAGAGGTCACTCTTTGAGGGATGAAGATGTTCACATCCTGGACAGAGAGGAACGATGGTTTGAGAGAGGAGTAAAGGAGGCCATCTTTGTGAAAAGAAACCGTCCATCATTAAACAGGGGCGGAGCCTCCAGGTTCAACTGTCCCCCTCTTACAATGCTGTGATTGCTAGTATCACTCAGCCCTCTGTGAACAGTACACAGCCATCAGGTGCTAATGATCCATTGTTATGCTGATGGTCCTTCTTGACCATGTGATCAGCTGGTTCTGGTTGTCAGCAGCAAACTGGTTGATCCACTCTGAGAAGGTGCTATTTAAGAGACTGAGCTGAATACAGCACCTCAGACTGAGGAAGTCCTCAGGATGAGAGACGAAACGTTTCTACTTTTTTTTTTTTGCTTTGTTTTGTTTTTTTGAATGTCCAGAGGACCAGATTGAATTTTTTTTAGATTTTTCTACCTGGATTATTGAGCATGCATCAGGAGACAAGACTGAGGTTTTGGTTTTTGGACCTGAGCACCTTAGGAATGAATGTTTCAGTCTTTCTCCCTCCTTAGATGCATTAATCTGTCCTCCAGCTCTAATGTTAAAAATCTTGGTGTTATTTTTGATCAGGACATGTCTTTTATCCCCCACATTAAAAACGTTACTAGAACCTCCTTCTTCCACCTGCGTAATATCACTAACATTAGAAACATCTGATCTAAAGATGATGCAGAAAAACTGGTCCATGCATTTGTCACGTCTAGACTGGACTATTGCAATGGTTTATTATCTGGGTGTCCAAATACTTCTTTAAAACGTCTTCAGTTGATCCAA